CAATGCACTCGTCAGTTCTGCCATTAAAGGGAAACATCTGCATTGAGATGACGTCATGGGCATAGTCCTTCCCCATAGCACATGACCGCTTTCAAAGTGGGAAGGGAAGAAAGGAGTGGGTTATTGTGCGTTTACTCGACCACACAACGGTCTGCTAAAGCAGCAACTATTGGGCGTGTATTGTTTACATGACAAAGCTTATTGGCTGTGTCGAGTGGTGGTGGGTTAGTGGCATGTGTTCTAATCCAAAGAAGCTTTGCTATGAAGAGAGTAGAGCCGTGTTCTTCATTGCAAGGCCAGCGTGCCACTGGCGGCTTCTGGTGGCCTTCAGTTTTGGGCCCCTGACATGCGGCTCCCCAACAATGCACAACACGTGACAGCCACCCCTTGCAGGCGGTGTGGCGGCCCTCGCACTGATGATGTCTTATCGGCGAAAGTGGCCCCCCTCTTGAAAATTAGCGAAGAACACTGTAGTAGAGTCAGACCGATGGTCGTTCGTAACCAGCGCTCTTGATACGACTGTTCACATGAGTGCATCTCAGGACAAGCAAGTACGTGCAAAGACCCTTTGTGTGCCACCTTGAGTGAATGTCGTGAGATCACAGGCGTGTGTGTGTGTACAGAGCTGGATTTCCATTTACATCGGTGCGAATGTACGTGCGTGCGTGCGTGCGCGCCTTTATTTATTTAATGCTCAGTCGCATACCGCCAGCAAGCTTTTTCATATAAAAATATAAAACGAATGTGCACCTGCGTGGCATTTTTTGCATTTTTGTTGTGTCATTTTTTTGTACATTCTAATTATGCACGCAAACTCGTAGCCTCCTTGTTCACAAGAAAACATGGGCAATGCTTACCTCCGTTATTAAAGCTGTGACATCAACAGCAGCAGCCCCAATAAATCCACTGTTGGATGAAGACCTCCTAAAGCTGTCGCCATCTCGTGTTCTTGTGATGTAACAGTTCGCCTTATATCTGCACACAAGATCATTTCCACCGCTCCATTGTTGTGCTGCGTCAGTGGTAGTCATTCCACATTCCTATGACAAGGACCATACATAGAACAATCACCGACTTTCCATCAGTTATTACAATCTTGTCAGTCCGTGTTCATTTTACCCATCCCAGAGGGATGATGATGACGATAATAATAATGGATGATGATTTCACCAAAGTTAGCAATTGAACTTGCAACTACCTGACCAGGAGCCACAATTCTTCTATTTAGCTAAGTTCCAGCCAGGCCTGAACATTGTCCATCATCGTTGATCAGTCAACCGCTGGATGACGTGCATGCACAAGAACGCTTGCTCTCGTAGCTAAATGCGCCACTACCTGACCGGAAGCCACAATTCTTCCATGTAGCTGAGCTGCAGCCAGTGCACGGATATTGTCCATCATCATCAACAAGCAATCATCACCACCGTGCGTTGATCATTCAACTGCTGGATGACATAGCATGTACAAGAATGCTTCCTCTCATAGCTCAATGCGCAACTACCTGACCTGGAGCCACAATTCTTCCATTTAGCTGAGCTGCAGCCAGTGCACGGATATTGTCCATCATCATCAACAAGCAATCATCACCACCGTGCGTTGATCATTCAACTGCTGGATGACATAGCATGTACAAGAACGCTTCCTCTCGTAGCTCAATGCGCAACTACCTGACCTGGAGCCACGATTCTTCTATTTAGCTAAGCGGCAGGCAGGCTTGGACATTGTCCATCATCATGATCAACAGGCAGTCATCACCACCGTGCATTGATCAGTCAACTGCTGGATGACGTAGCATGTACAAGAACGCTTGCTCTCGTAGCTCGGTGCGCAAACGGCGCCACAGGTCGGCGTGCGTCTCTTCACGCTGCGAGTAAATCTGTTTGTTATTGCGTCGCTCGCGGGCAGGCCCACACGGGGCCCGACGTTGGCCCATCCGTCACGGGGGGGGGGGCGGCGGAGACGATGACGGGGGCCTGTCCACGCGACGTAAAAAGAGCAGCTGCCCGGTGTAATGAGTCGGATGGCTCCAAACGGCTTGACCGCCCGGTGCCCGCTCGCCAGCTTGACAATGAGGATACGGTGTGAAGTGTGAAGTGCGGCCCCGTTCAAGTGCCCCAACCGTGGTGCGCCTGCCAGCGCAGCCGCCACCCCCCGCCACCGTTGGAATGCGCAGAGTGCGGCGCTAGCGGTGCAATTACATGCGCGCGGGAAAACATTTAGCGGGGTTAAATAAATAAAAATGAGTTTAACACGTAGGCTTTCGCGGCCGATATCCATATAAGACGTATTTTGGGTTAGATCGCGTGAATATATAAATGCGTCGTTAAAACCCGCCACCACCCGACGCAGCCAACTAGTAAAGGGTTGTCACAGAAACAGAACGTGGCCAATTCGTCACTGGTACAGCACTAACCGGTGTGTTGGAGAGCCAAGCCACAACATTTACAATCTGAGCACGAAGTTTCGCGACAGTAATTACAACCGGCTTCATCAGGCGACAACCAGATTTGTGGAGAAGTCCACCTGTTTCGTTCCTTATATAGAGGCGTAGATGTGGTGACCATGGCGAAAGCCGCCGGCAGCTGGGATTTGAAGCGCGCCGGGTCGCGATGGTTTGTGTGTGTGCGTCGAGCCCAAGGCTGCCCACGTAGCGAGCGACCGCGGGGGTGGTGTTAACCGCGACCGCGCTTTGGCATGGTGGTTTCCAGGTGGATTATAATTGATCTCAGATAACTCTGATTACGGGCAGTTCAGAGTAGATTCTGTTTAATTCCGAAATTGATCTCCCCCCCCCCCCCACCGGACCCGACTCCCCCCCCCCCCCACCTCACCGCGCAAGCGTGATTGATGGTGGGTTATTCTAATTGGCTGGGTATGGGTCAACTCTTACACAATACAATACTTTCCCGCCTGATAAATGAAATGCTTAAGTGTATTAGTGGGCGACTACAGGGTCGAGTTAATATTGGCAATGGGCACGCGGCGAGAGCCCTCCCACTCGGTGCACGCCACTGGTCCAGGGGACCCCTGAAAGGTTCCTCGCCAAGTGCCGCCCCCACCATTCACAGTGAGACACGATTAGTTGATGTGTGTGCGTTGAGATTTTTTTTGCGTTGTACGTCGCCAACCGCGCCAATTGGAGTTGCGGGGGGGGGGGGGGAGGACAACCAACTCAACACAAAAAGTAGTTCTAAGTTTTCAATCTAGATTTACAAGTGCACAGCTCCAGTGGATTCCTAATATCAGAAGGAGAAGAGCATTCAAAACAGCCGCAGAAGCGCATCTGAAAGCGCACGATACCGGTGACCATCTTTGTTCGATGGCCAGCCAAAAACCGCTGCTGCGAGAATGTCCCTAATGCAATTCTAAGCATTGTATATTACCCTGCCTTCAGCTTGTGTTTGTGTGTATTTCGTGAATGACCACGGTGTTTCTAAACTGCATGTCACGGCAGGTGTAGTACACACCGATTGCGAGCGCTCTCCTGAAGGCACATTCCCATGTTACTTGTCGTTGAGGATGGAATCGCTTTATTGAAAGACCAGCAGCAACATCACAACCCTACTGGCAGACTAATGCCTACTCTCAGTCTGGTGCTGCGTTCATTTTTCACTGCACAGGGGCAGCTGTCATTGGGGAGGGGGGGTCCCCTAGGCTAAATAAAACATGCCTCAAGAAGACGTTTGTTAAGGAACAGGCCGCGACAAATATGAATTTAAGTTGTTGACACGGTGGAACGAAGGGCGGAGCAGTGGTAGTTTACCACAGCCCAGTTTTCCCCTCCCCTCGAACACGGAATCCCCTGGCAGCGCTGGCTTCAAGTGCACACAGAGCGAATTAACTTTTTCATTCGTGGGACAGAGGCCAGGGCAACCGCTGTGAAAATGGTCAGTGGCTGGGCTTTTGGAGCAATGGCTCTCTGTGAGAGGGCTGGCAGTGGCTAGGTCAAACAGCAGTGCTTGGCACGCTAACAATATAAATGGCATGTCGAGCACAGATCGTTCCGTCCGTACCTTTCCTTGCCACTTGAAGTTTTGCAAAGAAAAAAACACTTTTGAGCCAAAGCCCTAATATAAGTTCTGGGTGCCCCAATGCAAGTGTGATTTCATATATATCCGCTGCGGGTCCGGGGCTAAGCCCCTCTTGTCTGCGACGGACGAAGCGGCTTGGTACGAACAAAAAAGTGCTTCTCCTCTTGCTGCTACTGCTGCTGCTGCTACATAACGGTCGCGATTACTTTGCCAACCGAGTTCTGTCATGCTGCTCCATCGCGCATCGCGTAACAGGACAGCGATGCTAATGTTGGGATGGGGGGGGAGGGTGTGTGTGTGATGTTTATCACGTGGACAAAAGTGCCCCTCCTCCCGACGTGGTCACAGGGCATCCCAAACTTGTGGGGACGACAGTTTAAGGGGGGCACCATTGTTGCTTGAGGGTCAGCTTCAAATACTCCTTGGCCTTCATCGTCGTGAGCCATGGTCAATCCACTGCTGGACGATTCGGCGACCAATCTTACAATCTTACAGATGCATAAATATATATGTGGGAAGATAAAATAATATTAAATAGTAATTTTTCTAACCTGTCTACTGCTGTACGAATGGCTCCTATTATTGTTATATGTGCATTCCTCAGTATTCATTCCGTATCAGTCGGTGAGTCCGTCGATTAGGCTCTCTGTAACTTAATGCAACACCGCCAACATGACGCGTCTCTTTTGCAAAGTAGACTCGGGGTAAGATACAAAAAGGGAGTGCAGATAGTAGGACGTAACTTTACGTGTTAACTTGACAACAGAGTCCTGAAAAACAGGCACACGAATCAAGTTGCTGCAGGCTCTTTGTCCGATCGTAAACCGCTTCCCTGGTATTATACTTGATATTGTACTTGACTATACACTCGACTGGATCTTTTAACACGAGTACGTCCTGCATATGCGTGCTTACGGTCCAAAAAAAAGCGTCACAGTCTGTCGCCGTTTTGCCTCTGCCTGTGCACAGGAATCGACGGCCACCGCTTGACCTTGTGCCCACCTGGATGAAGATCAAGCGATTTATTGTCATAAATACAGAGATATTTTGGGGTGCCCCACCTTGCACGATTTGGATTCGGCAGACCCTGACTGACCCCGTGCCTCTGGGCGCCCGGTGAACCCGAGAGGATCGCGGCGCGGAAATAAAGTTCACGGCAAGACCAACGAGAGCGCTCGGCAGGTGTTTGCGCGGAGACGCGGCCGCCCTCGGGTCCGGAAACCCCGTTGGAACGTCGCTGGAACGTTGGAAATACGGCGGTGTGCTCGCAGTCGCGGCCACCCCCACCCCACCCCCGCCACGTGAGAGAGCTCTGCCGCGTGCTCGTTCATCGCAGACTCGTCTCGAGAGGAATGGCTGATTTGGATTCCGCCTGTGGTCTCTGAGACGGTAAGAGTCGCTTTCCCTCCCCCCCCGGACCCCCTTTCCTCCACTCCCCCCCCCCCCCATCTCATTCCACCAACAACGTCTTGCTTTCCTGCATCCTCTTTGTTTGTCCGCTGTTCTCGCCTTTGTATTTTTAATTTAGCACACGTGACGGACGATCAACAAGTCGCCTGCCCCTCATGGTTTACGGCGTGCAATTCCATCCCAGAATCAATTATTTTATTCTCCCGTGGCAGAGGTAATGTGGTAGTGGAACGTCACGTGAACCCATTGCATGCAAGGCGTAGGAATCGAAAATGCAATTCGCAAACGACTTTATGCGCGTACCATGAGTGTAAGATTCGTATTGCATTTGATGAATCGATTCATTTGTTTTTAAACCATTACATAAACTCGGGTCATCCTCGCGGCAGCGGCTTCACCGCATCGCGCCTTTTCAAATGCGCTTCTGCGGCCATCTGGAATGCTGTTCCTTCCGATATTAGGAAGCCACTAAGCCTAGATTGAAAACTAATGTCTTCGGAACTGCTTTTTGTGTTTAGCTTGTTGTCCTTCCTCGCACCTCCGAATTAGCACGGTTGGCTACGTACGGTGCGAAGGAAGGCCAACATGCATACAACACATACATTAAAGGATGTGTAGCCTCCAGGGCTGACGAGGTGGGCTTTCCAGCTGTAGTCAGGAGATGGCAGTGTTGAGTGTCCCCGCCCTCTTGTACACGGAGTGGGATTTCTCCAGGTACGCGTGGCTCTGTCCACGCGCCATGGAATTAGTCACGTGTCTCGATGCAGGACCCTGCTGTGAAAGATTTGTGAGATGCATTGATGCTTTCTTGGGTATGTCATTTGTATTCATACATGTAATATTTAATTGGCTAAAGCCATTAACTCTTTCCCATTTCCGAGACGCCTGCAAGTTGCAGGATGGTTTCCGTTCACCGCTGAATCTTGGAACGTGCAAGCGGTCGGCATAAATGATATCTAGAAAGGCTTAGCGCCGTTGTTTTTAGAGACGTACTCACCCGCCGACAACTGCAGCGACACGATCGCACTCTGGTAGTTGGCGCAAAAATTGTTCCAGACGCCCCTCCCTCATGGCCTCGTGGGAGCCTCGAAACCGATTATTTTATTTTACGTGTACGTAATCGGAATGGAACTGGAAGAAAAACCGATTATGTACACGTACGATATCGGAATGGGAAAGGGTAATATACGTTTTGATAGCTTGGCACGAGGGCAGTGTAAAGGCTAGCTTCGCCACACTGCGCTCAGTGGCATTGGCGATAGTGTGCAGGCCTATGCAGAAATGTATTTAATGCCTGGCATTACTATGTTGCTTATAATTCAAAGAGCTGTGGTTAAATGAAAGCTGGCAAAGCTGTTGGGGAATATGCAAGCTAACCCTGTCCAGCTCTAAAAATCCAGAAGCTTTCTTTGCATCGAGCAGTCTGAGATCCCAAATAAGCCACGGTAAATTGGATCGTTTTAGCCAAAGCAGATGTTAAATAATGAATGCAGTTTAATTCATATAAATCTACTTTGATCCACGTTAAAAGTGCGAACATCAAAGGGCAGGTTTGCAAAACGCAAACGGTCTTCGATTATGTTTCGCTCCCGTTCTACCCACAGCAAGATAATTAGAAAATTCATTTGATTGCTTCATTTGTTTAAATTAATATTAAATATTTATTTAAACACATGAAGGCTTCCACCGTGGAGATAGAGCGGTGAAATCGGTTCATGTGCAGGTGCCAGATGGATTTACAACATTGCAGGATGATGAGAGTTGATGGCGGCCTGGGGCTGGGTGAGGCTTTCATCCATCGGTGGAATAACCATGGCTGAAGATGACAAAGATGATGATGATGACTAAAGTTTAGTAAAAAAAAGTTTACTGAGATAATACTAGTCTAATTTTAACAAAAAAATATTATTCGGTAAGATCTTAACACTTGTATTATTGCCAGAAAGGGCAAAACCTAATCTTATTTTTCATAACGTTGATACTGCCAAAAAGGTCCTGTGATACAGCTGCTAACCCCCAAGCTATTAATGCTCTGATACGTGTGGCATTGTCTTTGTACTGTTCACCTTTTAGCGTTCTCTGGTCTGACGCTTGTGAGGCTGGATCGTAAAGAAGGCTGTCTCTGGTGTAGGCCAATCAGTTTCACATGCAATGCAAATATATTATCAGAGCGTGTTTCGTTGCACGTTCACCACAAGTAGTAAGTATGGTCAATGCAGACTTTATTCCTTGCAAAAGGTATCTATTTGGCGTTGGAACATCTTAACACGACCCGTGTTATTTCCAGAAGGGATAAAACCTGTTCTTATTTTTCATAGTCGGTGGGACCGTGTCAATTCCAGAGGTGTTATTTTGTCTCATTACTCTGCTGTCATCGGACAATCTGCATTGAACAACGGGGAACGTCTTTTGTGTGGAGAGCTGTTGTTGTTTCGGCTTCTGAGTCACAGTACAATGGTGCACCTCCCACGCAGTTAATGTTCCCCTGACTCAAGAACATGCAGGCCCCCCTCCCGCCGTGTGTCTCGACCACCTGATTCTAAAGAACGGAGTGCGTCACTGCGCGCCCCAAGGACCGGTTTATCCGCACTTTTGACTTGGACTGACGGCGAATGCTCCGGGGTTGTTCTCGCCGAGTGACAGAGGCTCGCTCCGATCACAAAAGGGCCGCATTCGGGGGTGGGGGGGGGGGGAAACATGGACATCGGAGGGTTAATGATATATGCAGCCGCCTCATTAGTAGATTTCGCGAGAGACCAGCGCAGGGAAAAAGTCTCATGCAGCACAGATTAATTGCAGGCAGATTCTGCCTCTTAATTCCCCTTGACTGCTCGATAGAGGGACAGACGGATTTTTTTTTTATTTCCATGGCTGCTGTGATTCAGGGCTGTATTATCCTAATGGTGATATTGTGGAACAAGGGATGTTCCCAAACGAGAGTCTGTATCACAATTTCTCTTAACCCCTCACTTTTGATTTAAATCAGACAGAATATAGCATGGCATTCAATTATTAAGACCGGATATTTACACACATTGTTTTCATAGATACACATGAGCCTTTAAAAAAAAAATGTAAGACGTGGCTGTATGGTTCATCGTACTCATAATGGTCTTGTCAGTACACCAAGCCGGCACGGCTGACGTCCGTGTTTCACATCTTGACCACACTTTGATTAAACCAGATTCTCGAGTGTAACCAGTTGACGGTCACCGTTAACTAGGCAAGAGCCCTTGACAGCTTTCGCTTAATGTGGGCCGATTCCATCGCTGTGAATTACACGTTACCGTGCGGTAGTTGCTGACATGCTCCGAACACCACTGCAGTGGTGGCCACTCGGGGAACTTAGCTAATGCATCACTCTTTGTTGCTTTATATGTACAAGCACTTTTAGTACTTATAGATAGGGGGAATCTTCCCTCGCCCCTCCCCCTTGGGGGAGTTGGGAGGGCGCCAGGGGATGGAGATCTCACCCCTCTGGTCACCCCACAGCCATATCCTCTGTGTTAAAAAGTTCACCAGCTTGGCTCCAAAGCTTTTCACGGTCTTGGCTTAAAAAGAGCTCACCGTCGAATTGTGAGCTATATAATTACACATCTCGAGCAGGACGTGTGTACGAGTCCCTGAGCGTTTATGGAGAACGTTCTTTTTAGGTCTGCGGGCAAATTCTTTACTATATTCTTGAGTCTTTCGGTAAAGTCACTCACGTAGATAGGTTAAAAGAAAATAACAAAAAACTACACGACGTTTCGATCGCAAAACAAGCGATCGAAACGTCGTAGTTTTTGTTTTTTATTATTTTCTTTGAACCTATCTACGTGACTTTACCGAAAGACCCAAGAATACGAATTCTTGCAGTCACGAAAGCTTTAAGTCAAGATTTTAATTCTTTACTGATTGCGTGATGTGATCAGGAGTAAATCTACAATTAATTAAATATTACAAGAGGGGCCCCCGGGCAGAGGGCGGAGCTTGTGGAGATTTCGACACCGTCGCGGCTCGTGCAGGAGTGAGGAGAGGGTGATTCATCGCCCCGAAGGAACAGCGATTACACTCCCCGCCGTGTGTTCACTGCCTCACGTGCGACCTTAATGAAGGAACAATAATAATGCATTAATGTAAAGAAAAAATGACGGGGGGGGGGGGGCGTGGGGGATATAGAGTGGAGTCGTCGGTTAAATACAGTGTGAAAGAAGTTTTACATACATACGACGCATCTCCTATTAGCCCGGTTGGCTACGTACGCTGTGAAATAAGTTGAGCATACATACTAAGAAGAGGGGGCGCGGAGATTGAGAAGTTGGCGTCGTGAGAGCCGCGGGCCGTGGCGGCGATAGCGCATGCGAAGGGACATTCGGGTTTCCACAGAACCAGTAGCACCTCAAATCGCATCGGAATCTTTATTCAGAGTGGAGGAGGAAGCCGGTGAGCTATGAAGAAGCTCAGTGGGGGCCACGTGGGGGTCAGCAAGTTTTACAACAACAAACATGATACCATGAACGATAGAAGCACAAAGTAGGGAAAAGGTAAGCGAGCCACGCAAAAACATTATGTTGGTACAAAGTGCACAAGTACTTTATAAAGGCAGCAACAACAACGGTCCCAGACCACACCAAGGCATCAACAAGCAGATCCTCAATAAAATGGGACATTAAAAGGGGAGGCGGGGGGGGCGGAGGGGGTGGGGTTGTTCCGACGGAGGGCCTCGGGACAAGCGCTGGGCCCTCGTCCTCGGATGGACACCCCCGGGGCGATGGTTACCACCACCCCCCCACCCCCGGTGGTTACTGGGTGCGCGACCGGCAGTGGGTGAGAAACCCGGGGGAACGGCCAACGTTGGCCTCCACCGGGGCCCGGCCGGCCGGCCCCCGCACGCCGTCGCCAGCGAGATGCCCGGCCGCCGGAGCGCGAGAGAGACAAAGACGGACCCGGACCATCGGACAAACCTCTCGCCTGCCTCACCCACACGATGAGCGCCC